CACATTTTTTTTGTGTATCTCAAAATAGTGAGTTCACCCTCGTGACAGATCACCAGCCACTCCTCTGGCTCACGAGCAACCAGGCCTTGACGGGGCGTAATGCGCACTGGGCGATGCGCCTACGGGAGTTTGACTTTACCATCAAGCACTGACTGGGCCAAACGCTGCAGCACATGGATGGATTGTCGCACAACCCCCCACCAGCAGAGCCAGTGGCCAGCCTAGTTGCATTGGCGTGCGAGGTGGAGCACCAGGGAGGATGGCCGGAAGAAGCGAGGAGCGCGACGTATGGGTAGACCCAGATTCCTTGAGCTGGCAGCGAGGAGAAACGGAGGCAAATGAGCCCGTCTCAAAAAGAGCAAGAGCGCGCGGGCAGCATTATCGCTGGTATGTAGGGCAGGTGCAGCTGAGGACACGGGAAGGCTGGAAGCTGGTCCTGGCTCCTAGTGAACGAGAAGGGATCATCCGGCGAGTGCATCAGCAGCTGGGACATTTCGGGCACGTGAGGACGATGCATTTGGTGAACATGGGCTGGTGGTGGGCAGGGATGGCGAGGCATATCCGCCAATTCGTGGAGCAGTGTGAGGCATGTGATCGAAATAGGGCGCAAGAAGTGCCGCCAAGAGCTGTAGTGCCGCCAAGAGCTGCAGTCACTACCCCTAAGAGGATTGGGCTTTCGGTAGTCCTTGGACATGGCAGGCGAGCTGCCCCTCAGCAGGCGGGGCAAGAAGTACGTGCTGATCATGATCGAGCACATGAGCAAGTGGGTGGAAGTGCGGGCCCTCAGCAGCAAGAGCGCGGCATTGGTGACTGGAGCATTCACAGTGCAAGTGCTAACCAGGATGGGAGCATGAGGGGAGGTCTTGACGGATCAGGGCACCGAGTTTCAAGGGGAGTTCGATGCAGCATTGAGGGCAATCGGCATCACGCATAGGAGAATCTCCCGCTATCACCCGCAAGCAGATGGATTGAGCATGCCGATGGTGCAAACTTTGAAGAGAGGCTTGCGAGCGTATGGGGAGGGCAGTGTAATACTGGGACATTAGAAGGATCATGGTTATGTGATGCTATCATTTGCATTCACGCATGTCTGCCTCCCATCATATGTTCGTGCGTTGCATGCGTGGTATGAGCGTGCACAAGAATTCTGTGTTAGGTGTTGTCTGGATTTCCTAAGTGTGTATGGATATTATCTTGCTTGAGAAGATAACTGAAATGACTTCTTTGTTCAAGAGCTTTCTGATGAATCAAGACTCGTCGCGATCGGAGCACGGAGAAGAAAGATACAAACGGTTGAAGTTCGTATGCTTGTGACATTTTATTGCGCCAGCTTTGGGAATTTGTAGGAGAGCCAATTGGTTGGGAGAGCCAAACAGGGTTGGCAAGTGTGACCAAGTTGGGTGACGTGGATGGCATGGGTTGAGAAAGTGACAAATGTCAATGTTGGTGTGCCTATAGGGAGGGGAATTGGGTGCTTATAGGGTTTCCTTGGTTGGGGACTCCTGAAGGACCTTCTCTCTCGTCCTTCTCATTCCCTCCTACCTAGTTTCTATCTACTCAAATCTCTTGTGTGGTTCTTGATTAAACAATTGTGATTGGGCTTCAGCATCCCCCCTAGTGTGTCGAAATTCATAACTCGAGAAATACTTCGCCTTTTCATGCAACTCAAATTGGGAATTGTAACCACAATCTAGTGCTACATCATACCCAAGATATGTGAAGTTTTAACGGTGAACGTTTCGTCGACGGCGTTTCTTGTGGAGTCAACAATTCTATCCATAAATTTGGTACAACGACTTTGAGTTATTTTGGCCCCTAATCTTATTAGACCCCGTCATTAATCTCTATCAAGTGGTATCAGAGCTGATTAGGGACTTTGTGGAGAGTCTACTGAGGTGTGAAAAACCTTCTAGACCCACCATGGCATATGGATGTGCCTAAGTGGAGTTCTAAAGGTTGGATGTGACTTCCGCTAAGGGGAAACTCTGCCGAAATTACATTGGTGCTGACGCATGTGAAAATATTGTGGGACCTCGGTGTGGACAGCAGAGGGGGGAGCTGAAATTTGTGATTGGGTGAAGAGAAGATGAGTGAAGGGAGTGGAGAAGCAGCTGAGAAAATGAGTGAGCCGCCACCATCCAAGATTGAGGCACTGGATGGCTCCAACTATGAGGTGTGGAGCGGGCGGATAAGGAGCGCCTTCAAGCGCTACAAGCTGCTGAAACTTGCGATGGGAGAAGACAAGATACCTGAGGAAGGAGAGGCACGTGACCGATGGATTGAGAGGAGCGCGGCACTGTACGACCTCATTCTACAATCGGTAAACAACGACATGTTCTAGCACATCAAGGATTTGGTGGAGTTGGATGACTGTGAGCCAAATGCGTGGAAGCCACAATGCGATGTGATCCAGCCCAACATGCTGCCGATGGTGATTGTGTTGGAACAGGACATGGCTGCCCTCTCCATGCGGCCGGGAGACGATGTGAAGCCGGTCCTTGACAAAATCAAAAACACCTATGCACGGATGGCAGAGGCGGGCAGCAAGGTGTCAAAGATGTAGCAGTGCATGAAATTTGGTGAAATTTAATGGTGAACGTTTCGGCGATGGCGTTTCTTGTGAAGTCGACAATTCTGTCCAGAAATTTAGTCCAACTATTTTGAGTTATCTCGACCTATAAGCTTCCTAGACTCCGTCCTTAATCTCTAACAATCATAAGGGAGAAGAGTACGAGGAGGGCGCTGTACAGTGACAAACAAAGGGTGAAACGAGACATGAGATACAATGGGGGACACGAAGGCAGTGAGTTGCGAATGAAGTGTGGAATGCAATGTGAGTCTGTGCACTATATATAACTGTGGCATGTCGGATTGGTATGAGAATGCGCATGGAATTGCGGAGATAACAAAAACAACGGGAGCTAGTCCACGGGGAAGGCACGGTAGTGAGGGTGATCTCTTCGTTCCTTAGTCGTTCGCTTGTGTTCACTCTACTTGCACATTCACGGGGAAAATTGGCAAGAGTTTCACTAGCAAAGATTGACAACAATGGTTGAACAAGGCAAAGCAACACTGTATACATCAAATGCTAGCAAGCATGCATGACGACTGCCAGCGCAGCACGGTCGACCGCATTCCAGCACTGCATGGTCGACCGCGCTCTAGCATTGCAAAGTCGCGGTCTACCAACGCTGCAAGTCGACGGTGTGCCAACGCTTCGCAGGTGCTCGTAGATGGTTGGCGTGCTCTACCCCGTCACCTGCACAGCACAGACATCAAGTCGTCCATGTGCTGGTGACCTCAGCCGATCAGCCACATCAGCCTATACCACCACCGAGATTGGCTTCGCCAGAACCACCAGGGCGACTGTCGCGCTCCTCCGCAGAACCCCATCGCCTGGGTAACCTTGTCGACCGGGCAACCACGTCGACCAGCAGCTTCTCCTTGTGCTTGTCGACCGCTCAGGTCGAGGACTACCACCGGTCGACTTCACTAAGTCAACCAAACCCCTGGTTGACCAGCTCCACGTCGACCAGCCCAGCTGTCAGCCGACCGCACTAAGTCGGCCTCCCCAGGTCAGCGCCACCAAGTCGATGCCCTCCTCCTGTCGACCTACTAAGTCGGCCTCCCGGTTGAAGTCGGCCGCCGGCTCCCCAAAGTTGGCAGCTTTGCAGTGGCCCCGTGCAGGTCGACCAAGCCTGTCGACGTGCGTGCCCTAGTCGGTGTCGCCCACTGCTGCTGGTCGGTTGCGCTCCCCGCACACCTGACAACGAAGTCGGCTCCACCCAAGCGATGACGGGGCAAACACGCAACTTCTGTTGATATGAATGGGTGTGTTTCCTTTTCTTGTTCTAAAATTGTTTGCAAGACCAAAGCAAGGAGCTGCAAACGCGAACAAGTGGAGTCAACCGCCAACTGGCAAATAAAGCATAGGAGCATGCTCGAGCCATGACAGCTGGGCTAGGTACCCTTGCAAGTCCTCATGAAAGCACAAACAGCTGGCGACTTGTACATAGCATCAGGCGCTGCCGAGCCTCGCTACAGTGTGATGAATGTTTGTCTGTTGTTTGCTTGATGCTCAGCACCTAGAGCTCTGTGCTAGGCAGGCATCACCTTGTACATAGGACCATCACTAGGCGGAAGCCAAGCTGTCAGTAGTTCATGGATTAGTGAGTAGTGACGGGAAGTACACTCATGAGTTGGTGGCAAGGAAGGAGTCAAAGGGCGGGGGGGAGAGGGGTTGGGGTTGTGCAGGGAGAAGTGCAAGGGGGAGAGAGAGGCAGCACTAGGCAAAAGGGTGAGAAGACCACAGAAGTCAACAGAGTCCCACCATGAGGCAAGCATATACAGAAGTGAGGGCAGCTCAGCAGCAGGTTTTTGACATGACTGAAGCCTCGTGCAACGTAATGCGCCTTGAAGGGGGAATCCGGCAGTTGCTTCAAGTCTGGGCCGACGTCATCTGACAAAAGTGCGCTCTCTGGCTGAGTGGAAGTTGAGCGTGGACAGCAAGTTGGGCGGTGGCGTCGCGTGCCGTCCGCCATGTGTAGGCAACACGGTCAGTCCGGTACTACTGCTGCTCCTCTTCCCCACCGTCAGCAGCAGGCTTAGCTGGAGTCGTGGAGGCCTGAAGGGACCCCAATGTGTGCTCGGACAAGGAGCCTATCCCTATAGAAATGCTGGAGATACATGTGCAGGCGTGCTAGCCACGACTCAAACTCGAGAGGGTGCTTGCCTCCGTCAACCTCTAGGACAGTGATAGAGGCCATGGCAGGAACTAGGCCAAGCGCCAGCACTAGGAAGCAGTAGCTATTGGGGGCACAGAGTGGCAGTATGCAGTGTGGAGCGGCGCAGCTTGACAGCAGTGCAGCGCAACGCAGTAGGGCAGTGCGGCGACGGGCAGCGCGGGTGGCAGCAAGGTAGCGTGCAGCGGCAGGGCAGCGCGCGGCAAGGCGGCGCCCTAAGCGCGGGTGGAAGCACTGGCAGCAGTGGGCGGCAGCATTCTAAGCGAGGGGCGACGCGGGGCAGCAGCGCAGGTGCGCGCGCAAGGCTGTGGGGCACGCAGCGCGCAGGGCAGCGGGGCGCGTGATGCGCGGGGCAGCGGAGGCAGGGCTGTGCGCATGCAGCAGGGGCGCGTGAGGTAGGGGTGCGCTGGCAGCAGGCGCGCGGGGCAGCAGGTAGGGCGGCACGTAGGTAGTAGGGGTGTGCAAGGCAGGGGCGCGTGGGGCAGGGCTGCGTGCAGGCATCAAGGGCGCGCAAGGCAGGGGCGCACGGGCAACAGGCGTGCGCGGACAGCAGGGGCGCGCGGGCAGCAGGGCGCGCGGCAGCAGGGGCGCGCGGGGCAGGGCTGCTTGCCGGCAGCAGGGGCGCACATGGTTGGGCAGCGTGTGGGGTAGGGGCGCACTGAGTAGGGCACGCGGGGCAGTTACGGGGCGAGGTTCTTGGAACGATCCTAACCAAGCGTATGATACCATGTGAAAGATGTGAACAACGGAATGGCAAGAAAGGAATGGTACAAGCAAACGTGCATGAAACCCAAATAGGTTGTACCCAGCCTACAGTTACATATCACAAATATAATTTGACACAAGACACTTATTTAAGGGATGAGAAACGTGAGTAGCGTGTGTAGCGTGAGATATGAGAAGGGTGTTTGCAATATTAAGAAAGGTATCGGTATAAGATATATAGTGGAGAACGTGGGAAGGGGGGTACACCACTAAAAAATCATAAATGATACTATATAATTATCTAACATTATGTTATTTATTACAAAAATTTCAGCTCTTGCTCCCATACTTGCTCTTTCATTACATTTTTTTTTTTTGCTCTCATTTCAACACCTTGGACGAGATGTGTGACATTAAACAATGACCATAATAATCAGGGTATCAAGGTAACGATCATAGTGTCAAAACATGTTTCTATGTTCTTAGTTCTGCTAGGTTACAGTGAGGTGCTCAGTATAAAGTACAACCTCAGTTAGGGTTTCCTACTTGTATCTCACTCTTGCATAGTTCATTCATTCCTGCACACATACTTCTAACATGGTTTCAGAGCAGGTCCCTCCGTAGGACCGCTCCGTCTAACAGCACTGCCCTGCTCGTTGCGCGCTGCCCTACTTGTTGCGCGCTGCCCTGCCCTGCAGCACGCACACCGCCCTACCTTGCAGCCCGTGTGCCGCCCTACCATGCAGCCTGCTCGTTGCTCTACCCTGCAGCCCGCGTGCCGCCCTGCCCTGCAGCCCGTGCGCCGCCCTGCCGTGCAGCTCGCGCGTCGCCCTGCCCTGCAGCCCGCGCATCGCCCTGCCCTGTAGCCCGCGCATCGCCCTGCTCTGCAGCCCGCGCGTCGCCCTGCCCTGCAGCCCGCGCGTCGCCCTGCCCTGCAGCCCACGCGTCGTCCTACCCTGCTGCCCGCGCGTCGCCCTGCCCTGCAGCCCGCGCGCCGCCCTGCCCTGCAGCCCACGCTCCGCGCCGCCCTCCCCTGCAGCCCGCGCGCTACGCTGCCCTGCCCTTAGGCCTGCGCACCGCCCTGCCCTTAGGCCCGCGCGCAGCCCTGCCCTTAGAGCCGCGCTGCCCTGCCCTGCGGCCCGCGAGCCACGCTTCCCTGCCCTTAGGCCCGCGAGCTGCCTTGCCCTGCAGCCCTCACGCTGTGCCGCCCTGCCCTTAGGCCGACGCGCCGCCTTGCCCTGCAGCTCGCGCGCTGCGCTGCCCTGTCCTTAGGCCCGCGCGCCGCCCTGCTCTGCAGCCCATGTGCCGCCCTGCCCTGCAGCCCGCGCACTGCGCTGCCCTGCCCTTAGGCCCACGCGCCCTGCTCTGCAGCCCGCGTGCTGCCCTGCCCTGCAGCCCTGCGCGTCGCCCTGCCCTGCAGCCCACGTGCTACCCTGCCCTGCAACCAGTCTGCGCCTTGCTGCCCGTGTGCCCTGCTGCTAGCCCGTGCCCTGCTGCCCACGCAACCTACTGGCCTCCACAGCCACTCCATCAGTCGCTCCTGCTGTTGCAGCCACAGCGACTACCGCTACTGCTACAGCTGCAGCTACATCACCTGCTACTGACGCCCTTGTGCTGCTGCTCCTGACTGCCTCTGTCTGTCATGGCCATCACAGTCGTAGCAGCGTCTGGGGGAGGACAGCAGCAGTAGCGTCAGCCGGAGACTCTATTGCCGTAGTAACTTCGCGAGTAGGTTATTCGGCGAGGCCGCTCTGGTCCTGGAGCTTGGGATTACCTGCGTGCTAGAGGTACTGGACAGCAGCGGCAGCAGTATCAGCGACGCGTCTCTGGTAGTGTCGGTGCTGCTGCTCTACGTGCTAGTGAGTCCGCTGCCGCTGTAGGTGCCAGTGAGACTGTTGCCACAGGTGCTAGTGAGTCGGCCACTAGTGAGTCTGCTGCCTTAGCTCAGGCCTTGCACACTTTCACACTTGACTCAGGAGCGTCACGTTGCTTCATTCGTGATTGCACCATAGTCACACCGCTTGCAGCACCTGTCCCAGTCTCACTAGCTGACTCCACTGGGGGCCCAGTCGTAGCGTGAGCCTCCACTGTCCTCCCGTGTCCGGCACTCCCCTCCGGCTCTCTTTCAGGGCCTCCACCTCCCCTCGTTCTCCACGAACTTGGTGAGCAACGCAGTGTGTGGCGATCTGCACGTGCTCCCGGACTGGACGTCACCTTGCTACGTTCACTCGGCAGCCTGGGTCCAGTCTGTACACCCTGACCACTCCGTCTGCACAGGTGGCTGCGTCAGGTCAGGTGGCCTGCGTCGAGTCAAATTTTTGCGTCTGGTCAATTCTGTTATGTGATGCTATCACTTGCATTCACGTCTGTCTGCCTCCCATCACATGTTCGTGCGTTGCATGCGTGGTGTGAGCGTGTGCAAGAATTTGTGTTTGATGTGGTTTGGTTTTTCTGAGTGTGTGTGAATGTAATTTGGCTTGAGCAGATATCTGAAGTGACTTCTCTGCTCAAGAGCTTTCCGATGAACCAAGTATCGCTTCAATCGGAGCACGAACAAGAAAGTTACGAACGTTGGAAGTTCGTATGCTTTTGATATTTGGTTGTGGTGACTATGGGAAGTTGCGGGGTTGACTCCATAAGGGGTTTAGACTTTTGGGGGTTGGGAAATTCGTCAACATCACTGTAGATGCTGCCAAGTGGTTGGGAGGTGCCTAACCAGGCTGGCAAGTGTGGCCAAGTTGGGTTGAGGTGGATTGTGGAGGTTGGGATAGTGACAAAGGTCAAAGTTGGGTTGCCTATGGGGAAGGGAATTGTGTGGCATGGGGTTTCCTTGGTTGGGGACTCTCTTGGGACCTTCCCTCTTGTCCTCCTCATCCCTTCCACCTGGTTTAGTGCTACTCTAATTCTCTTGTGTGAACTTGTGTGAGACTCTTGTGATTGAGTTAAGTTCTTATGGCAGCATACCCCCCTGTGCGCCGAAATTGATAAGTCGAGATTTACTTCACCTCTTGACGATTCAAATTGGGAATTGTAGCCACGGACTAGGGCTGCATCATATCTGAGTTTGGTGAAGTTTTGACCGTGAACTTTTTGTCGACGGCGTTTCTTGTGAGCGCGACTATTCTGTCCAGAAATAGAGACCAACGATTTTGAGAAATTTAGGCACCTAATCTTCATAGACTCCGTCCTTAGTCTCTAACAAATTCGCTGCGTCGTGCTCGTGTCGGGTACTCTCCCACCAGACTCTTCTCTGGCACCACAGACTCGATCACCCCTCTCTGCCGTGTCTCCGCAGCATGCACTCCTGTCTCCTTGTCTCTGGCCTTCCCAGGTCCCTGCCCCCCCTCCCGCGCTCGCCTGCCTCACCGTGCCTTCCCTGCGTCGAGGGGCGGCAGCGCGCCGCTCCTCACTCCTCCTCATTTCCTCCGACCACTGCTCCTCTGCAGACTCTCCACATGGATGTGTGGGGCCCAGACCCTGTCTGTGGAACGGACCAGGAACGCTTCTACCTACTGGTCGTTGACGACAACACGCGCTACACCACCGTCTTCCCCTTGCGCAGCAAGGCGGCCGTCAATGGTATTTTGATGTCCTGGATTCGCGCTACTCATTGCCAGCTACGCGAGCAGATTCGCCGGGACCTTCCAGTCATGCGTCTGCACTCTGACAGGGGCGGCGATTTCTCTTTTGGCCGACTTGCGAAGTTCTGTCGAGACAAGAGCAGCATCCAGCCGTTCACGCTCCGACCTCTCCGACGTAAAATGGGATTGCTGAGCGTCGCATTAGCTTGATCATGGAGGTTGCTCGTACCTCCATGATCCATGCGGCTGCTCCCCATTTTTTGTGGTCATTTGCGGTTCGATACGCCGCGCATCAGCTCAACCTCTGGCCCCGTGTCTCTTTGCCAGAGACCTCGCCCACACTTTGTTGGACGGGAAAGGTTGGCAATGCATCGGCGTTTTGGGTATGGGGCGCGCTCTCCCTTATTTGCGATACCACCGCGAGCAAGCTCTCTCCTCGCACTCTCCACTACGCCTTCCTGGGCTTCCCCACCGACGCCCCGCCGTGGTAATTTTACCACCCTCGCGAGCGTCGCGTGTTCTCCCAGGGCGTCACCTTTGACAAGTCGATCTGTTTCTACAGGCTCCACCCGCATGCGTCCCACCCGGTCCCCCTGGCACCCCTCTTCCTGGTACCAGTTCCCCCCCTCGATAAACCCCCTCCCTCCTACAGGGTCCTGCTCCCTCAGGTGTGTCTCAGGTAGACCCAACCCCCTTGGTTGAGTCTTTGGAGATCTCTTCTGACTCCTCTGGCCTGGCTGAGGGGGGTGACCTTGCCGCTGACGACACGGCGGCCACTCGTCGCTCTCCACGTTGGAGACCCCTCCTGATTTTCCGCCACGACCGTCTTTACCAACTCTACAGCCTCTAGCTGTGGACACTGGTGCTGCTGGGGGTGGTGACACTAGGGTTCAGGATGCAGGAGGTGCTGGTCCTGGGGGTGCTGAGTCTGGGGATGTTGAGACTTGGGGTGCTGTTCTTGGGGGTGAGGGTTCTTGGGGTGCTGAGACTGGGGGTGCTGCGAGTCCTAGTGGTGGAGGGGCCGTGGGTGCTCCTGCTGCAGGTCCTGGTGTTGGACAGCAGCAGCCACCTAGTCGATTCGAGACACCCTCACCGCAGCAGCTTCGTGAGTGGGTCGTTCGGCGAGGTCGCTCTGGTGCTAGAGCTTGGAGTTACCTAGACGCTGGATTTGTTGGTGCTGGAGGTACTACTGGAGCTGGTGGTGCTGGAGCTGGTGGTACTGGAGGTACTAGAGGTGCTGGGGCTACTGGTCCTGGAGGTCCTGGAGGTGCTGGAACCGCTGGTCCTGGAGGTGCTCGTACTAGAGGTGCTGGAGCTGCCGGAGCTGGTGGTACTGCTGGTGCTGGAGGTACTGGAGCTGGTGGTACTAGAGGTACTGGAGGTGCTGGAGATGGTAGTAGTGGAGGTAATGGAGGTGCTTGTGCTGCTGGTGCTGGAGGTGCTGCTGGTGCTGGAGGTGCTGGAGCTGGAGGTACTAGAGGTACTGGAGGTGCTGGAGC